GAGTGAAAACGAGTCCATTATCAGGGGGCTAACAAAAGGCGAGGGGGTGGTGCGGGGGGGCAAAAACCACCCGAGTAGTTTTTCGCGACCCGACGCCATTTTGGTATTTCGGAGGATGGAGCGACCTCCCAGCGTGTCGTGGGGCAGAGGGGGCGAAGGTGGGAAGAGGGGGAGGAAAACTGGGGGAAAGCTGAGGAAAGCGGCGACCGCTGGACACGGATGAGTTATTTTGATATCGGGGGTTCATACCCCATTAGGTCCGCCCGGCGATTATTTCGAAGCTGGACAATACCTCGGCGATACTGACCACCCCTAGGGCCCGTCTCTGCCACCCTCTGAACGTCGACGGATTTTTCCGCCATTTTTGCAGGCTCTACCCCTCTTGCATCCCGTAGGTATATATCGGTCGGCGGAAGTGCAAGCTTCTGCCGAGGTGCACCTCTTAGGAGAGGGTCTTTTTTAAGGGAGGTAAGGGGCGTCGCCGGCGCTTTCCTGGAGTAATTCGTAGGGGTGGGAAAGCTGACCGACGAAAAAGCACCGACGCTCTTCCTCGGGACGATAATCGTTTCCGGGGCGGACGTAACGAGCGATAACGCGAAACCGCCCGGCCATCGCGACGGTCAGCGTCCGCGGGGGTGGACGTTTTTCCGAAGGCGCGGGGCGTCGAGGCGAATTGAACTAACAAGGTCCCCGAGGGCAGTTTACGCTCGATGTCCCAGTAAACCCCAAACTACCGGGGGATGATCGTTTGACAGCTTTCGCCGCGCCGCCGACCCCGCAAATCCGTTTTAACACCCCGCTCGTGCGGCCCGCGTTCCGCCCCCTCCGGGACAATGGATCATTCGCGGGGGGGCGTCGCAAAGGGGGTGCCCGACGGAAAGTGGACCCCCCAGGACTGCCTTACCCCCCTCCGCGATTCTTTATCAAATTGTTGCCCCACGCTAACGACCTCTGCCAGAACGGAGATGGCCCGTTTCCGTCACTGTCCAATTCGCCGGCGAATTGGCCATCTTTCCTCGAAACACGCGTTTTCTCTCGCGATAAGAGCCCTTCCTAGGACGCGACACCTCTCCTTGGGGGGTGTCGAGGTGAGAAATGGGGAGCCAGGGTCTGGTCGTCTTCCGGGGTCGCCGATAAACGCCCCTGGGAGAGGGTATCGAGCTTCGGGGATATAAATTATTCCCTTGTCCTGGAATGCTGCTGTTCTTTTTTTTTTTTCTTTTATCTCCTAGTTACGTGTAAACGGTGGAAAAAATGAAGAGGGGAGGAAAAAAATATATATACGAGCTCTAGGGGATTGCGGAATGACGGCGGCCGGTCAACGCACAATGCGATACGCGGGGGCGGGGGGAGCGGTCGCGCATTCCTATTGTGGCGTCCGGTCGGGACATAAATTTGTAGGAATTCCGAAAACCGCCATACATTAATTAACGGCCGCTTTACAAAGGTGCGCGAATAATATTTGACGGATGCAGGAAAATCACGGGGAATTAAATGTTCTACCCCCGGCGATTACACGGGGCGATCGATCGCGGCCACCCCCGAATCGAGCCGAGCCTTCCTCTCGTATGGGGCTATCACCGATCGTGGGTAACCCTTTCAGCCCTTCTCTCGTCGGTTTTTTTCGAGATCCGAGGAAATCACCGCCGTGTGGAAATCGCCGAATGTTGAAATCAACCCCTGCCGGGGGTGGGCGGTGGGCGTCCGCGGGAATCCCTCCAGGTGAACGAGCAACCCTTCCGCTCTGGGGTTATCACGGGCAGCCCGTTCCGGGATTACTGCGTTATTATCCCCCGGTAAGTGGTAGGCAGTTCGGTCGGTCCCCTTGTAAGGCAGACCAAACATCGCCGGCTCCTTACCCGGTCCCTGGAGCCAAACAGCGAACCGGCAAGATACCCACCCCCGGCCATCTTGCCGCGGCCATCTTGCCGACCTACCCCGGCGCTATCCACCGGCCGCAGGAGCCCACTTGCGAATTTAACCCTCCTAATTAATTTATCGCTACCCTCCGAGCCTAACAACCCGGCAAGTGGGTGCTTGCACCTTCGGCTATGCGTCCGGAGGGGGTGGGTTATTTTCCTCGTTGCTAGATCCAAGGAGTCCTCGAATCGTAGAGGGGTGATTCTGGAAAAGTGGACGGTGATCGTTTTGTCGTCCCAGGTTTTTCCTCTCTCTCTCTCTCTGTTTTTTTTAATTTATTCAGGGACGTCGAAGGGGGTGCTCCAAAGGGAGTCCTCTCGAATCGCTCCACAGTCCGCACTTAGGAGCGATCTAATACAAATTCAAGGAGAGGGTAGTTAGGGGTGGTCGGCGGCGCTGAAGGAATCCATAGATTGCGCGGGGTAACAATCAGCCGTAAATTATGGCCTCAATATCCATTGTGTACCCTCCTTGCTCCCGAAGGCTCGCCTAACCTCGAAGTCTGAGGCCAAGACTACTCACCTCCTCTGGCAGCCCCGACCGCCCTCTGGAACCACCCCGGAGTCGGCTCGAGGCCGAAGGGGTGGGTTCGCCCCGCACGGCTCGACTGAGCCAAGAGATATGTATATTAATGGGGCAATCTTACATAGTTTTGTTTACCTTGCCATTCTCCTAGTGCGTATACAATTACTACCCCCCCGGTCCGCTCCCCGAGGTGGTAAGGGTCTCCCGGCCGACCCGCCACCCTTAGCGCCGGTTATCCGCAATAAGGTCGATTACTTCGGGACTGGAAGCCACCCGTCTTCCGCCCTTTCCACGTGTAAACGTGGAAAATCCTCGGAAGAGGTCCTCCAGGGAGGAAAACTATCCCCTTCTCGGGAATTCCTTAGGATTCGATCAAGTTCCTAGCAATTTTGGGTAAATCTCGGATAAACTTCTTTATTTTTTCTTTTAAGCGCTGAAAAAAAAAAATCCACGGGATTTCCTAGCGACGACTGGTCGGTGGAATCCAGGTAAGGAGCCATCGGGACTCGAGGGGAAACGAATCCCGATTCGTTTTCCAGCGGCTTTTTCCGCCCACCCGGGCGGACGTCAAAGACCGGGGAAAATCGCGTCGCCGCCCCCGCGGTAATAATGCCTTTCGCGTTCCGCAACCCTTTTTATCCCCCGGTTTCCTCCATTTTCAATCTGTGCTCGCCTCCGCGCGTCTGCCGGCCGGCTTTGTGGTAAAATGTACATTTCTCCCGCTGAACAACCTCATTTGTGTAATCTCTCCGAAGCTTCGACAACAAACCGCCGGTGGCGTCGAGGGGGGGCGCGAGGACGACGTTAACGTACTTTGTAGTTGCGCTCCCTGGCATGTCACGCCCCTCCCCCCCGGTTGCCTCCCGCCTTCCCCTCTGTCGTCACTCTGTGCTCGGATGAAATTGCAATTGTAATAGCAATTATCTTATTTCTACCGTCTCTCCGACTCTCGCGGGACGGGGTTGAAACCTCCCCTCCGCACCCGTTGAGGGCGGCCATCTTGCGGGGGCTTGCAGAAATTGATTTCCAACTGTCCTGGATAAATCGGGGAGAATTTCGATCGATTCGTTTAATCCCGTCGGTCGCGTCCTCGGGGAGTTAGGGGCGCGTCGTTAGGTCGAGGGGGTGGACGGGGGGCGAGAGGACTCGTCGCGTCGGGGACGCGCAACCGGTCATACAATGAGGACCGGGGAGTTCGCGGGGGGCGCCAGGAAGGAAAGGGGTGGACAGCCGGACAAACAAAACCCTTGCTGCTTCATTTCTGCCCGTCTGGCCAGACACCGACCCTTTATGCCCCGGCGTCGCGGTGCGTCGCGGTGCACCCCCGGCGTCCGTCTTGCACCCTTGCACCCCACCCCTTCGAGGGACCCATTCACCGCGGTTGCACCCTCGGGAGACATCGCGAAATCCCGTCACTTCGGAAATAAATTTGTCTTAAGGGATGCGATAGATCCAGGAAACTGACCAGGGTCGAGTTCCTCGGGAAGGGTCGGAGATACTGCAGATATGTTATCAATTGGAATGATTATTTATGGTGGGAATCTCTAGGAAAATTAAAATTCAGATATTTATGAGTGGGGACTGCACTTGCGGGGGTCGTTCGAGAATTTCGGAGAGCACTGGAAGAAGGGTTAAAGAACGGACGACATAAATTGTCCTAATTGGGGACGTGATCGAGAGGTACATGGGTTTCCTTGGGAACTTTCGAACGACATTTTCCAGATGGGTTGAAGGAGAGAGTTGCGGATGAAGAAAGGCGCGTTGAGAATGGAGCTCAAAGGACTTGAGTCGCGACGACGACCCTACCTCCAGGGGGTCGACGCCGTTGTCGACCCTTGAAGTGGTGGTTGGCGCGCCCGGACGGCGCGACAGGACGCGAAGTTTAGCTTCGGACCTCACGTGTCATGATAATTACTATTTGAGATGATAAGAATTCGCTCTCGGTTGAGCCCTTGTTAATTCGGCTCGAACGGGAGGTATCCTGGATGCGTGGGAGTGCGTTTCTACGCGGAACACCGATTTTCGGAAACCATGGGGTGGAGGGGTCGAGTGATCTTTTCTTTTTTTCTTTTTCATGGGGGTTTCTGTCTCTTTTTTATTTTTTTCATGCGAATAGGACTATTTTTTACGAATCGACCGCCGAGCGGCGTGGTCGTCGCGCGGGGCGGGTCGTATGAAAAATGTATGGGGCCAATGTTTTCTCCATTCTGGACACGAGCCCCATCTCTTCCTTCCACTTGGCACCCTTCATTCTGTATAACGACAACCCTTTCAACCCTCCAGGAGCCATTCTTAAAGCCTTCCATGAACGTACCATTCATGCGTCGCGCCCCATTCATGAGGCGGCGTAGGGGAGATATTCCATGTTCGAAATGAAACATCCTATTTTCTGCTCTAATTTAGACATGTGCCACTCTAGGGCCCCCTCCGGAAAGGGGCACCCCGTAGGAAACGAGATCGATAGTTTACCCTCGGCGTTTACCCTCCCTCTCTATCTCCCTCCCTCTCCGTCTCACCGCCAAAATGTGATATTCTCTTTTTCTTCGATGTTTCAGGTCAGTGGTGCATACTACGTCGGCTTCTGAGACACAACGACACGGCTCGTTGATGTGAGTTGAAGCTACATTTACCTGGACAAGTCGTAGGAATTAAATTTGCGGGGTCGATTAATCCCGGGGTGAGTTGGCCCTCCCCTAAGATGGCGAGAAGGGGTTGCGATCTCGGGGAAATTGGGCCTTCCGATTCTTAACGCTTCGTGGAGAGAATTCTTTCTTCCTTTTTTTTTCCCTTTTTTAATATATTGAGCCGTTAAGGGGGGTACTCTTCGCCGCGTCCGCCACTGGGGCTCCGCACCCCCCAGGAGCGATCGAGCCGTCCCCGCCGCGGCACCGTCGGTCCGTATTAACCGCACGGAGGGTGGTTTCGGATGAACGCTCGGGATATTACTCCCGTTATTGGGCGTGTTAATTGTTTTTCCTCTTAGGCGAATCCATTCGCAAGTCGGGGGCACCGCGACTCGTCCTGCGCCGGCCATTGTTCGGGGGTTGCAGGCCGGGTCGGCGGTGCCCCTCCCCCCCCCCGACCCTCTCACGCATATGCGTAATGCACCCCGCCGGAGGCCGCGCGATTGCGCGACATATTTTTCGGGGGTTGACACTTATTAAATCTCGGACACCTATTAACTTGCCGCGGCCATTGTCGGCTCACTTCCGATTACGATTTCGGGGCGCGGGCTCGTTGCGGTGTATCTTGTATAATTTTACCACGTGCCGACCTGCGGGGGGCGGTATTACGGAAGATTCGAAATCCGAGACTAGAGAAGGAGAGGAGCATTCGCGTCCCGCGGAAAAGTATACCGCGGTTAATAATCCCGCCAAGATGGCGAGTATCATCCCCCGTCGGCCGATTTCCCTCGCGAGATTTCACGGCAATTTTCCCCCGCCGGGTATTGCGACGCTTTCCGGCCCTCCTGGAGTATCTTAGCCACCTCGGAGTCTCGCTCTGTCGCTCCTCCTCGTCCCTCTTCGTCTCTCGCGAGGCCGCTGCATTTTCCCTCCCTTGTACCTTCCTCGAGTCTGTCCGTCCCTCTCGCGCTCCCGCGCCTCCGTCTCGCTTTCTCCTTCTCTCTCCGGCCCCTTCATCCCCTATCAGAGGGCTGCCGGTTGCCGGTTGCCAGCAACACCCCCCAACCCCCGACGCTCACCCAACAGATACAAATACACAAGGACGCGCCGTTTAACGGCGAAACCACCCCCGAGAGTGGCGGGCTCTCTCTCTCTCCCTTTCTCCGTCTCTCTCGGCGGCTTCTCTTCTGCACTTATTTCGCGTTAATTCACCCCTCAAGACCGTTTACTACCCACCCCCTGTCCCGGCATCGCCGACGCCTCTGATCGCTCGGTTGTTCCTCTTTTTTCTCCTCCTTTTATCTTCCCTCCCCCTCGTCCTCTCACGTGCCGGCAGGTCGGCCTCGTTAAGCGCACAAGGGGTGGACTCCCCGGGGAGGGGTTGTAAATTCATTGACTGGCGGAAATACCGCGGGATTTCTTTGCTCCGACTCTTGGCCGCTCCTTGAGGGGTGGGGGCCTCTGCCCCTGCCCCCCATCGTGGCGATTATTTCGGGAGGGCGAAAGGGTCGAGCCATTCAGGGGTGAAGAATCCTTGTCTCTCGTGTCCCCGGAATGACTGCGGAAAGTTGGCTCGATTGACCAGCCAGCTTCCCGGGAGGCCTTTTACCTTTTATTTAAATATTCCAATTTTCCAATTTTTATAATTAAAGTCTCCTCAACATCTCGCGATTCCCTCCAGAAACACGCGGATCGTCGTCTGCGTGAAACTCTGGAATTCAGTCTGAGGCACTGACAAAATGGCTACAGGCTTATTGGAATATTTCCGCGTTAGGCGTACCCTGGGGAGTAGTACATGGACTGAGAATTTTCTCAAACCGACAGGGGGTTGGCCTTGACAGCCAGGAAAATTCAGAGCCTTCCAGAACCTCGAGAGCGTTAAACTGGTCATTCACGGAATTTCTTGATTTCTCCTTAACAGCTCTGGTTTTTCTAGAAGAAGAAAAGAAAATGGCGCAGACAGAACTCAAGATGGCACGCGCGTGTCTACATCACGGTGACATTTCAATAAACGCGTTAATTTCGTTTGCGCCTCAAATTGGATTCCAGGTTCACACGGCCCGGTCCGTCGGCCGGTATCCCCCTGTGGACGTCGGAACCTCCGACCCCCGATAATTCCTCGCAGTTCCAGGGCGAGTCCCAAGGGAGGAAAATTCCTCCGGGGGGGTGGGGGTGGGTGGGTGGCGAATTTCCCCCCGGGTCGCGAAAAGGGGACCCGTGGGCGGAGGCGGGCTTAGGTTTCACGGTAAACAAGCATTACGACATAATTTTCTGTCACAACAATGGCTACCGGTTACAAAGGGTTTAACCGCGAGGCCGCGGCGCTCCCGCGGACAATGAGAGAACGGCCGGCGCTCCGCCATAAATTGATTTGCGGGCCCGCTCCAGGAAAAAGCTCCCCCCCGGAGTCGGGGCCGAGGCCGGGCTTTTGAGCTTATGCGCAAAAATTACGCCTCGCGCAAAAACCACGAACGAAGATTCTATTTATGTTACATAATTACACCACAACCGGGCGAGGTGGCCCGCCTAGGAGAGTCCGAGCATAGAGAGCCCTGGAGGGTTGGGGAGGATTGGGGAGGGTAAGCGGCGCCAAGGTCCGGAATTTCTCCCGCTTTTTCCTCCTTTTCGAGTCGTCCCCGCGGATCCTCTTTTTATCCCTCCCTCCCTGCCCCCTCCGCGTTCTTTCCCCCCTCTTTGACCACCCCCAGCAGCCGGCCACCGCGCCGGCTAATGAATAGAAATAATGCCCCGCGAAATTGTGCTTTTCGGTAGTTTTCAATTAACAGGCCCGCCGGCCGCGCGAATGGGGCTCTAAGTCTTCATTCCGCGGGCGGCCGCGCTTAATTGCGCCCGAGCGCTTATTGCGGCCAAGTCGCCGCGTTATTCCCGCACGCAGTGTCGGGGGGATCTTTCGGTGTACGAATTCTCCGAGGGATCGAACGGTCGTCGAAAACGGGCGAGGGGTTTCCCCCCCACGATGTCTGCGCGCTAAAGAGGGTGCCATCCACCCCACGGGGAAAGCCCCCCCCCCCCCAAGGGTCGCGAGTCCGGTCGCGGTATTTGTCTTCGCCGGGTCATTCCGCGAGATTCCATCCACTCTCGGGCCGAGAGCCCGAATTCCCCCTTTTGGGGTGGCCGAGGTGGCCTCCCGTCGCTCCCCCCCGCCGATCGTCGGGGCGATCCTCCCCCTGTGAGCGGATCCCGGTCCCGCGGGATAAGGGACGTCGCGTCCCGAGGCTCGCCGCGTCGAAATGTAAAAGCCTCCCGACAAATCGGTTTCTATTACCGCCACGCTGCCCCCTGCCCCCCACCTCCCACCCCCCATCCGCCCCCTTTCCCACATCCACCCCGATGGCATTATTTCCTCCGGCGACGCGACCCCATACATCCCGTTTCCCTCGGTGCGGACGGAACGCGGTTGTCAAATTGGAAATCTGGGGGGGGGGGGGGGGAATCTAGCCATGGCGAGGTTTAAGAATAGAGGAACGCATCCTCCGCGACCCCTCGCGGGCGGAAATCGCGACTCACCCTCGCGAGCCGCGTCTACGTACCCGAACGACGGGAGAGGCGAGCGTTGGGGGTGGCGGCGGGAGGCAGGCATCGGGGTCGGCGGTGAGTGGCGAGCGCCAGGAGCGCCATCGCGAATTGGCGGTAGTCGCCCGAAACCCGCATCCCCCTGAAAGACGTTCGCTCCCACATATGAAGGGGGGGGGGCACAATCCCCCCCAGCGTCATTCCGCGCGCGTAACGCGAGTCCTCGTATCTTAATATCGCCTCTAACACCCCCCCCCCACCCACCCTTCCCTTTGCGGGTTGGAAAAAAATGAGTTCCTTGTGTACGCCGCCACCCCGCGGGGAGGGGGGCGCGACGCGCGGAAAGTAAGAGCGAGCTCGCACGTCGAGCGGGCCCCCGGGGGCGGCAGAAGGCGAAGGAGGCCTCCGGGGGGAGGGGGGGGGGTGCAAAAACAGCCGAAAAGAGCCCTCTCGCGAGGGCGCAGTCAGACGGAGAGTCAGACGGGCGGACAGTCATGCGGTCGGACAGTCAGACAGGGTTTGGGGTGCGGGGGGTGGAAAGTGGGTGGAAGGGGGGGGGCGCATGGCCAGACGCGAGAGCGGGAAGGAATGAAAATAATAATAGCCGGCGTGGCCCTGGGCCATGGGTGTCGGGCCGCCGCGGGAAGGAGCGCGCTGAATTTGTCATATGTAAGTCTCCCCCCTGACGGGGAGGACGCGTGGGGGGGCGAAAGGGGGACGCGCTCGGGAAAAGAAGGGTCGCTGGATCGCCGACGGAGCTGGGGGCGAGGGGGCGGTTTTCGGCTCTTTAACCGCGATACCTCCTCCCGGGTATATTGAAACGTACCGTCGCCGAATTTTCACCCCCTGGTTCGCGCCCTTGGCGAGAAAAGGGCTCCCCCCCCCCCCGCGGCATCGCGCATCGCCGAGGAAGGCTTCGAAAAATTGTTTGAAATTGCTTAGAAAAATTTAGCTGCGCTCTTAGATGTTCTTTTTTTATAATATTTATTTTCTTTTCCTTCGATACTTCTCTCTCTCCTCTTCTCGTTGATTCGGCCTCGATCGACGACTCGCAGCGGAGAGGCCGCACGAGGCCGCGTCGAGCGGTACGCATCCGCGGCCTCCACTTGGCGGGGCATCCCCGTGCGCCTGGTCGCTCCGATTCGCCTCCGCAACGTCAACAATTAATCAATAATAAACAGTCGAGGCATACGAGTCAACAAATTATCGCGGGCGCACTATAAATAGGAGCCGCGCGTAAACACACTCGAGAGAGGGACACCGGAGCGGGCGATGCGCGAGCAAAAATAGAGCTAATCGCCGCCGCGGGATTTATTAACTCTATCGCGGACAGCTCGAGGCTCGACTCGCTGGTTAAGCCTGACTTTGGTACTTTTTTTGCATTTTTTTTTTTCCCCCTGTCTCGGTCCTCATTTTTGGCACTTTCTTCTCCACCGCGTGGGGCCTTCCGA